TAACGATGGAAGTGCGAATTATCAAGAGGAGAGAAGACGTTCATCGATTAGCCTGAAACTTGTAGAGTTTATTAACATAATTCACTTCTACAATTGCTGAGGGTTTGCGATCAAACGGCATTTGCATTCTGATTGTACCGATAGCCTCATTGGTCCTCATACCTCGAGCATGCCATCGAAAATGTCAGTTTTGAAATTCACTCTTTTTAGGTCAATTTTCACGAACCCAAAATTCTGATAGCATCGGTATGTAGTACAAGGATATTAGTCTTTGCGAAAAAAAAAAGTTTGAGCGAAATCGATCGAGCTGATTTNGGGGGGGGTGGGGGGGGGGGGGGGGGGGGGGGGGGGGGGGGGGGGGGGGGGGGGGGAGCCATTTTTAGCTGTATATTCAGAACAAGTCAGAAATAGTGACTACGCTTTTCGACGATATATCTCTTATTGAATAAGATGGTTGTGTTCTCCATGTCGAAATGTATGTACAGTGAAAATTTCAGGTCTCTATCACATTGTTCTGAAGAAATATTACGAAAATACTTCATGTGGACGACTGCTGAAAAAATTCAAAAATTGATAAAATTCCATTTTAGTGCTTTCAGTAAATTTCGTGTATCTCAGTCCAAGTTCAAGCTTTAGAGTTAAAAATTTGGATTTATGCCTAACAAAATACTCTCTACCAAATGGAATAGATGCCAGTAAAATCAGCGACATCGATTGAGCAGCTGTACTGAGAAATTGGTTGTCCCTCTCGTGCATTGACTCCTATGATGAACATCTCCCATAATGAACGCTTGTCATTCAGTCCCGTATGTGTTCGTCTTACGGAGCTTTCACTGTACCGAAAAGCTAGTGTCGCAGACAAAAGTGGAAATCAGAAAAGGTTGTCTAGTGGAGAATATTGTAGAGAAGAAAAGCTCGGAAAAAAAATATTGAAAAGCACTTCCTGGATCCTAATGAAAAAAATGAATGATATTTTCCGAATAAAAATTTGAGAACGAGAATTAGAAGTTGGTGGGATATGGAGATTAGAACGTAGTAGCATGTGAAGAAGAAGAATATTGATATCATCTGTTTGAATATTTGCAAGTTGTCTATATTTCATATGATTCACATTCTTTTCTTCGACTTTTTCCAAGTTCGCTGTTTGTCTTCTGATGTTTGAGCAGTAAAGCAAAAGATCAAATCGCTACGATATATATTTAAATAAAAGCAATACTTGAGCTAAACTAGAAGAAAGCGAGATCTGTACTACGAAAGAATATTTGTAAAAGTTTATGGCAATAATAGGAATAAATTAACTCGAGATAACACTCTGGATAAAAGATTGTTGAGATGCAATTCGAGTGTAAGTACCCAGACCATTACAATATGAACCAAGGCTCGAACTAACAGAACCAGCACATGTCCAAGAATTATTGTAACTGATCATAACTGGGCCCCCGCTATCACCCCTACATGTATCAGTCGTCATATATCCAGCACAAAATTGGACAGCACTCGATACAACACAAGAGGATATTGGTGGTAAGACTTGGACGACAGCTTGTTGTAATTCATCTGGTTGACTACCATTTACTGTTGTTCGTCCCCACCCGACAATAACAACATGCTGATCAAGTGTCGGTAGTGAAGTATCGACTGGCAAACAACATAAGCCAACTGTTGAAGTTTCAGCTATGGTAGAATTAAGCACAAGTATAGCAATGTCATTTGTATAAACTGTAATATTAAACTGTGGCTGTCGTTTTATTACAGCAACAGAACGAATTTGGCCACTGTTTTTTTCAGAGCGTTTCTGTATACCAGCATAAACTGTAATCATATCTTCTGTTACAGAATCTGCGGGTACACAATGACCCGCTGTTATAACATGTTTATAAGTAATAAGAAAACCGCCACATATTTCTGTATATCCAAAGGCTGTTATTTCAACGAGTACTACCCATGGCCATGAATTAGGTGTTACTGTATAACCATTAATGACTTTTGCTGCTAGAAATGTCGGTTGTATTGGAGAACAACCACATGTTGACGGTCCGCCATAAGTACAATTTACAACAGGCGCGGATAAAATAGTTGGAATAGCGGTAGTGGAAGTAGTACCTAAAAATGCAACACATTCATTTTAGAACTAAAGTAATTATTTTCTATCGACTATTTTTGTATACTCCATAAGCAAGTACACAGGTAGAATTGATTCATGTATCCGTCCGACCGTCCGTTCATATGATACCCTTCGAATGACTAATTCAATTGTCATGAAAATTTCTACACGGCGTTGTCTCATCAATACGTATTTAATTCAAATTGTAAAATGAGCTCAACTGGTTAAACTAAAGTTAACTTACAGAAAAACTCCTCATTTTGTATAAACATTTGCCTTTTGTGTAAACTAGATTTCAAAGCCGGAAATTTTGCTAGCGTATCGTCGATCCGGGTTAGACAAAAAAACTATGTTATAAAGCTCAATCACCATACTTTTTCCCCTGACTGAAAGAAGAGTCATGTCGAAAAAAGTGGTCAAAAAACTGAAATTCGTTTGTATCAGGTGGATGCAAAATTCACGACCGTTTTTACTACTGCTTAAACTGGCGAAAAGCAGTCGTTAATTTTGCATCAACCCAATATGTATGTGAGTCTGTCGCAGGTCAAAGGTCAAGTTTTAGTGATAAATTATGAAACCTTCATAAAACATGGTTTGGAGGGGGGGAGGGTGTTTAGGATGAATGTTGGTTGGAGAGGTGAGGAAAGGGTCAGGGCCAAGGGTGTCAGCGAAAGTGGCAGAAGGCCGTCTGAGCGCTCCAAGACTACAATCCACACGTTTTGTACACTTAGGAGGGTCTTGTTGTGTATAGATCTTTTCAATCGAGAGTAATGCGAGTCACTCTCGACAAGCATTATCTCATCATTTAAATCGCAACTTTATAAATGTGTTTGGGTTTAGAAGCATTCACTTCACGAAATGAATTAATGTTTCAAATCTAATCAAAAGATGAAAATCGTACAACTCTGACTGAAAGGCTGTGATTCCATAGGAGACTAACCTAAAAATTAGCAAAGACGGCTTACGTGTGGTTTTCGGTGTAGGGTTGATGTTTTTAGTCGGCAAAAACATAGGTATAATACTCAAAACCACCATCGTTGCAATAACTAATGGTGCAACCAATATACACAAAATGCCAATTGAAAAGGTCAATTTAAACGCCATGTAAACTAATTATGCAGAAATTACAAAACACTTGAAGGCGATGGTAATATAGCAAATATATTCTTTCGGTAAAAATGATTTTTATGAACCGTTTGAATTTATTCTAAAAGAAAAATGTAGTTTTACAATCATCGTACTATTTTGTAGTAAACCCACCTCCAGTTTAGAAGACTCCATTACAGATTATATTTATCCAGTCAATTAGGAGACTCAATCTATTATTGTGTCCGATTTTTCTAATTTTTTTCTTTTTTTCCGGGCTGAAAAGACGTGTTCGTCGGTAGTGAGATATGTTATGTTATCGCCTATATCTACTTTACAATCTAGGCATCAATCGCCGCGTCTGCATTGTTTTTTCCCAATGGAAAGAAGAAATAAAATGAAGAGAAAAGAGAAAAAATGGACGTACAAGATAAAAATTAGCTGTGGTCTTCCGGGTAGGGTGCATCGAGATTTTCTGGCAAAAGGAAAGTCGACGAAGCATTTTGAAGTATATATATATCGATTCAGTTTTTTGCGCTGATTACAAATA